AACTGTGCAACAAAGTGAGATCCCACTTCAAAGCCTCAAAAACAAACCCTGGAGAAAACAAAACAACATGCATTCTAAAACTTTTTTTTTTTTGGATTCAGTTAAAGGCAAAAGTATTAAATCTTTAATAAAAAAATTTTTTTTTGGTTTTGTTTTTTGAGAGAGGGTCTCACTATGTAGTGCAGGCTGGCCTTGAACTTGCTATGTAGTCCAGGTTGAACTCAAACTGGTGGTGATCCTCCTGCCTCAGCCTCCCATGCACTGGGCTTAAATTGTTCAATTTGTACAAACATAAAACATATACAAAACCAAATCAATAATTAGTATCATCTTAGCATTAATGCTAGTTTTCTTGAAAATTTAAGATGGAGAACCACCACCTATAAACACCATTAGGAAATTTTTTCTGGGTACAAATTTCTAATAGAGTAAGAATAATATGGTTCCCTGGATCATTTTTAGGTTGTTGGTAACCAGGAGGTAGAAAATACATCCTTAAGTTACCACTTTATTTCCCATTTCCTCCCTAGTCAGTCAGGTTCATTAGCTGAATAGGCAGGAAAAAAAGGCAGTAGTAGATTCTCCACCCATCTGTAAAGCAATTATAGTAATTGAACCTTTCCCAATGGTCCCAGAGCTAATACAAACTATTATAAACTAAATTTAAAAATCTAAATCCTAGGAAGTCATGTTTTTTCAAGCTAATATATGCAAACAAATTAAGTTGCTGATTTATAAATGACAGTAAATTTTTGGACAAATTGGAATTATAATAACTGTGTCTTCTACATAATAAAGAAACCAAAATTCTATTAAGTAAACCAATTTGGATAGTGACATTCTAAATTATGCAACACTACAAATAGAGTATCCCAACTCAGATGATTAGGGAAGAACTTAACCCAAAGTATTAACCTCCCAGAACAAAATGGAATACTGAGACATCAATGTGGAAGGGAATTTTGTTTTTTATTTGAAACGAATTGGTCCAAATCTAAGTTCCCAAGTTATCTTCCAGGGCCTCAGTTTCTACATCTGCAAAATGGCTATAACTGACCAGCAGGGTTAATGGCCCTGGTAAAGCCAGAGTACTAGGCAAAAATAAGGCCAACTCCCTTATTCCCAAGAAAATAAATAAATAAATAAATAAATAAAATCATGCTTTAGCATTATTCTAAAACTGTTTCTTTCCATGAAATGTACATTTCTTTTAAAATAAGAAATTTATGTACACCCACATCATATTTTTTCCTCCTGATCAGACATATGTTTGCTTTATTTCAGTTGTGTTTAAGACTGATGAATGGTTTCACTCTAAGCAACTGAGAAAAACTGCCACAAGGATACACTGAAGGCAACTTGAAACAATGTAAAGTATTAACTTTAAAAATGAATAATACACACTGCTACTGGAAATCAAGGCAGACAACACAGCTCAATAAGTAAGAAAAAATTTCCTAAATGGTCTAACTCAGTGACAAAGTAAACCATAAGAAAATCCACTGGAGTGCAGGGGGAAATAAACCTCAAAACTTTTATTTTCATTTTTACCTCATTCTATAAAACTTTTATGTGTTTTTAAATATACAATACTTTAGCATACATATTCATACATAAATATACAGATTTTGGGAGTACCAGTTTAAATTTTTTTTTTTTCCAGTACCAGGGATTGAACTCAGGACCTTGTGCTTGCAAGGCAGGCGCAGTACCACTGAGCTAAATCCCGGCCCCTAAATTTTTTGACAGTATACAATTCTAAAAAGCTACAGATGACTTTTCTAGACTATGAGATTAGAGAACACACACCATCAATTAAAGTCACTGATGAAAATAGTTGAAGATGTACATTTATCTTAAACAGTAATAAAAAACTGGGTTGCAACTCCCTAAACAACTGAATTCATAACATTCAATATTATAGTGATGTTGAGAATGGGTCAAGAGTTCACTTTAATTCACATTTTAGTCTTACAGATAGCAAAGATTACATAAAATGGAACATAACTTATGACAAACTAAAGCTGTTAACCACTGTTCATATCTTGCACAGGGCACTACAATTAAAACAGATGTTTCTGAGTTATAAAATTAGGTCTTAAAATTCACTGTCAGATTTATTTTTGAGTCTATATTCTACAGCTTCTTTAATCAATAATCCTCTTTAGTGCCTGACTTTTACAATATTGTTCATTTCACAACAGACGCAAGGCTTTAAAAAGGGGGCCAATTTAACATTTTCAAAGATCATAGGCTACTGGTGAGTAAAATATGAGGTTAAACACATTAACTTTCATCATTAGCAGTGGTTGTTTGTTTCGTTTATTTTGAAAGACACTGGAACCAGAGGCCATTTACATTACTTGCTAGTCTATGTGACTCAGAATTCCACTTGTCTTATTCTTGCTTCAGAGCTGAAGTCATAAATGTCTCCATCTGTGACATAATTATTTCCAAAACCAATTAAGAGATGTCAAACAGAAAATTATGACTTCAGGTAATGAATAAAATGGCAGGGATGGATAATTCTTAAGGATGAAAATTTAGCTCCTCCAAAGCAAATAACAAAACGAAATGATTTGCCCTGTTTAACTCACTTAGGACAGGTATTCTCCCACGGAAGAAATTATTGCACTATAAAAGTATGTGATTATTAGAAGTCACTTAGTTCCCCACAGGAGTGAACAAATACTTTACAGGTTTTATTACCATGCTACTAGGGTGCGGAGGTGGCAAAGGGGTCAATCAATGATCCACTAGTTGAACAGTTCAAAACAAGGAAAGGGCAAGACATTCTGCTCTTAAGATAAGATAGAGGAAGATGAAATACTTTTAACAGTACTGTCAACTCTGGGAAAATATTAAGTGCAAAAGGAATAGTCAGCAATTTGTCTCCATGTTCTCAGACATAAACGGATTCACCAATAAGCACACCCCTAAAAAGAAAACTAAGATTTTTTTCTCATTTATTACCATGCAATAAATGGTACGAATAAAAACTTGGAATTCAGTTTATTAGATTTGTATCAAGATAATAGTAGAGTATATACAATTAAGGACCATTGTACAGTGCTTTAATAAGAATGATATAATGAAGGACCAAAGTTTGTATTAAACTAAATCTACAAAATATATTACCTTGTCCTGTAGTGAAACTAAGCACGTAAATGTTCTTTTCCTTGGTATTCCTAGACTGCCACCATAAGCACAAAGAAGCAGTCTGTGCCCAGGAAGTGGCATCCTAGTATGGCATTCAGGGTTTGTATTCTGGGCTCAACAACTGCCTTCCTAGCTCTTTTCCACCACTCTCATCACTAGATCCTAAGTATGAACAAAACTCAATGTGACTTGCCCATCACACCTAGAGGTTATTCCTCCACACCTTGCTCCACACTGTTCTTGCTTTTCTTCAGTTTCAGCCTCCATTGTTAAACCCCTACCCACTTGCCAAGGCTCTCCAGGGTTGATGTTCTCCTGTGTGTCACTTCTTATAAGTTAGTACCATCAATTTCACATTAGTTTAGTGCCATTCTACCATTTATCAGATTGCTGGTTTCTAAAAAATGACAAAGTTTTTCTGAATCAATGGTATATTCTGAAATAAATCATCATAAACTCAGTACCTTGCAAAATACAAGTCTGACACATAACAATCTGTCAATGTTCTTAAACAAATGATCACTCATTATAGATCTATAAATTGGAATGTTGTAATTTTTATCTTATGTAGATGAAAAAGTTCTCTCTGGATTATTATCCCAAATATCATATAAAACAGCCAAATAAAACACGTGAAACTGATTAAGCAGGCAGTTTGAAATAAGTTATGGCCTCCATCTAGATTTCTTGGGTTTTTTCTTATTAAAATCCTAGAGATAAGAAATAAGCCACCTCTGACATGTGAAATCACCACTTTGACAAGCCTCTTATTTATGTGTACCTCAGACCACTTGGGAAAGATGAGATCATTTAGCAGCAGCGCCATTATCCCTCTTTATTTGACCCCAACAATACTCTCAACCTAACAGTAAAGAACCAGGTATCCACCAGGCTAAACCATATTGAACACAGCAGCAGTGAGTATTACTTACCCTTTTTTGTGAAGAAGGAATGAGGTACATTAAAAACAAGATAGAACCTCCCCTAAAAATGTAAGATACAGAGGTACTCCGGGCATCTCCTTCCCCCACCTTCACAAATCCACTCCTGGAATCTGAGACATAGGTCCTTTGTCTGAACAGTGTGGGAGGAGTCTGTCTGCAGCACTCGTGTGCTGGCAAGTGAAAAAGAGAATTTCCTGAAAACTAAATAAAAACATAAAGTTCTTTCCCTTACTGTCCAATTTTTTCTTCATCGTACACACTACAGTGTCCTAGGAGATAAGATAGCCAGCGTGCCTTTGAAGAATAAAGTATCCACGGAGGGAAACACAATAACAGAATTAGTTAGGCTGCTCTTCAAAAGCTAAGTTTCTGAATAGCAGAGTGGGGTGGTAGTACCAACGTTTGAACATCCCTTTCCCTCTCGAATAAGTGCTTTCTACAACCCTCCATTTCTGTCCATTTCTCATCCGAATAAGCTGTTCCACGGGAAGCCGAGAGCGTTTACAAGACACTCGGCCGCGCAAACTTGCAGGCTCCCTTTCTGTACACAACACCGAACCCGCAACTCCTCTGACCCGACCTTTTACCACCTCGCTGAGGTTTCTGGTGCCACGCCAGGCTGGGGTTGCAAGAATCCAGCCGAAGTAAAGTGAACACCGCCGGACTGGGTGGCCCAAGAAACTTAACACTTTTTATCACACAGAACGAGCAAAACAGCGTGGGCTTTCGCAAGGTGACTCATCCCCTCTCCTCGTCCATCCTCGGCTCCTCCCAGACCCCTTCTCGATGGCCTTGGGGGACTTGCTGGGATCGCTCGAGGTGCCTCAAGATCATTTCTCGTCCTCCCACCCACGCCCAGGGCCGTGCCCGGCGGACCTGCCCGCTCCCCGCACTCACCCTGGCGGCCGACAATCTCGGCGACGTGCTCGGAGCTGGGCACCGGGACACACTCGGTGGTGTTGACGCTCTTCCTCCGCAGCAGGGCCGCCTGCTCTCCGTTCAGGGCTGCTGCTGCCGCCCCGCCGCCGGGGCCGTAGGCGTGGGACAGCATCGCCGCCATCATGCCCTGGGCATCGTCCCCGCCGTAGAGCACGCCCGCCGCCGCCGCCGCCGCCGCGGCCTCCCGGGCATCGAAGCCGGCGGCCGGCAGCAGCACCGACCCCAGAGGCCCGCCTGGGATCGGCTGGGTCTGGGAGGCTGCGGCCGCGGGCGGCGACAGCAGCAGCAGCGACGGCCGGTCCTCCTCCTCGGCCTCCTCCAGCTCCTCCTCCTCCAGCAGGTCTCCGTCCAGATCCGCATCCTCCCCCTCCTCGTCGTCCTCCTCCAGCTCCGGTTCGGCCGCCTCGGGGGCTGCGGGCCGCTCCTCCGGGGACAGCCCCGCCGCACGCCGGGCCTGGCCCTGCTTCGCCGTCGCCGCCGCCGCGGTCCGGAGCGCCGGGGGACCGGGCTCCGTGGGGCTGGGGTCGTCGAGGCCCAGCGCGGCCAGGCGCTCCCTCAGCAGCAGCCCGTCCCCCTCAAGCTCCG